TGCATGGACTTTTCTCTAGTTGCAGGGAGTGGGGGCTCCTCTCTAGTTGCAGTGCACGGGTTTCTCATTGTGGTAGCTTCTCTTGTTGCAGGGCACAGGATGGATGGCACATGGGCTTTGGTAGTTGTGGTTCCTGGCTCCAGAATATAGGCTCAGTAGTTGTAGCAAAGGGCTACACGGGCTTAGTTGCTCTTCAGCATGTGGGATCCTCCCAGATCAGGAATTGAACCCGTGTCTCCTGCATTGGCAGGCGGATTCTTTACCACTGAGCCACCAGGGAAGCCCTCTCTTACTTTTAAAGGAGAAAAAATATACATGAAAAGCAATGAGTGCCAAATCCCCATAGGTTTTCATAATTTTCTACACAGTCTTTTACATTTGTCTTCCCCACACCTAAAGCATTCAACTTAGCTTTTATAAAAATGATAACTATTTTTGCTTTTGTGATTTTTCCTTTTTGTAATGTTTATGTAATTTCAATAATGTGCAACTAATAGAGTCAAGTCTGAGAACAAATCCAATTGATTCATGATAAATATACAAGAAATGTTTATGTAAGTCAGCAAATCTTGAATTTCTAATAGTTTTCTCAAACTTAGCATGTCCAAAAGGGAGCTCCTATCCACACCTGCCTAAACCCTCCCAGTCTTTCTCATCCTAATAAATGACAACTCAATTTTTCCAGTTCCTCAGGCCAAAAACTTCTTTTCCTCACATTTCATACTCAATCTGTTACCAAAATCCTACCAGTTCCACTTTTCCAAAGTACCAAAAAAAAAATACACCAAGCATTTCTCACAGCCTTCAGAACTACCACCTGGGCCCAGACTCCCATTGCTTGTCATCACGATTATTTGGGAAGTCTCCTAATTGGTCTCCCTGCTTCATTTTAGTGTATTTGCAGCACATCAGCCAGACTGAGGACTTCTCTTGTGGCTCAGCTGGTAAAGAATCCACTGGCAATAAATGCAGGAGACTCCAGTTCAACTCCTGGGTCGGGAAGATCCTCTGAGAAGGGATAGGCTACCCACTCCAGTATTCTTGGGCTTCCCCGGTGGCTCAGCTGGTAAAGAATTGGCCTGCAATGCGGGAGACCTGGGTTTGATTCCTGGGTTGGGACTATCCCCTGGGGAAGGGAAAGACTACCCACTCTAGTATTCTGGCCTGGAGAATTCCACGGACAGTATAGTCTGTCCATGGGGTCACAAAGAGTTGGATACGACTGAGCAACTTTCACTTCACTTCAGCCAGACTGACATGTTAAAAATACATCATGTCACTGCTTTGTTCACAATCCACCGATGGTCACACATCTTACTCAGAGTAAAAGCCAAAGTCCTTACAATGTGAAAAAGGTTTCTCACAGTCAGTCTCCTGCCCCACTCCACTTGGTCTTATTTCACCCTTTGCCTACTTAGCTAGAAAGATGATGCTGTGAAAGTGTTGCACTCAATATGCCAGCAAATTTGGAAAACTCAGCAGTGGCCACAGGACTGGAAAAGTTCAGTTTTCATTCCAATCCCTAATAAAGGCAATGCCAAAGAATGCTCAAACTACCGTACAATTGCACTCATCTCACACACTAGCAAAGTGATGCTTAAAATTCTCTAAGCCAGGCTTCAGCAATACATGAACTGTGAACTTTCGGATGTTCAAGCTGGTTTTAAAAAAGGCAGAGGAACCAGAGATCAAATTGCCAACATCCGCTGCATCATTGAAAAAGCAAGAGAGTTCCAGAAAAACATCTATTTCTGCTTTATTGACTATGCCAAAGCTTTCGACTGTGTGGATCACAATAAACTGGAAAATTCTGAAAGAGATCAGAACACCAGACCACCTGACATGCCTCTTGAGAAACCTGTATGCAGGTCAGGAAACAACAGTTAGAACAGGACATGGAACAACAGACTGGTTCCAAATAGGAAAAGGCTATATACCTCAAGGCTGTATATAGTCACCCTGCTTATTTAACTTATATACATAGTACGTCATGAGAACCGCTGGGCTGGATGAAGCACAAGCTAGAATCAAGACTGCTGGGAGAAATATCAATAACCTCAGATATGCAGTTGACACCACCCTTATGGCAGAAAGTGAAGAAGAACTAGAGAGCCTCTTGATGAAAGTGAAAGAGGAGAGTGAAAAAGTTGGCTTAAAACTCAACATTCAGAAAACTAAGATCATGGCATCCAGTCCCCTCACTTCATGGCAAATAGATGGGGAAAGAGTGGAAAAAGTGGCTGACTTTATTTTTTGGGGCCCCAAAATCACTGCAGATGGTGACTGCAGCCATGAAATTAAAAGATGCTTACTCCTTGGAAGGAAAGTTATGACCAACCTAGATAACATATTAAAAAGCAGAGACATTACTTTGCCAACAAAGGTCTGTCTAGTCAAGGTTATGGTTTTTCCAGTGGTCATGTATGGATGTGAGATTTGGACTATAAAGAAAGCTGAGTGCCAAAGAATTTATGATTTTGAACTGTGGTGTTGGAGAAGACTCTTGAGAGTCCCTTGGACTGCAAGGAGATCCAACCAGTCCATCCTAAAGGAGCTCAGTTCTGGGTGTTCATTGGAAAGACTGATTTTGAAGCTGAAACTCCAATACTTTGGCCACCTGATGTGAAGAGCTGACTCATTTGAAAACACCCTAATGCTGGGAAAGATTGAGGGCAGGAGGAGAAGGGGACGACAGGATAAGATGGTTGGATAGTATTACCGACTCAATGGACATGGGTTTGGGTGGACTCCAGGAGTTGGTGACGGACAGGGAGGCCTGGCCTGCTGCGGTTCATGAGGTTGCAAAGAGTCGGACATGACTGAGTGACTGAACTGAGCTACTTAGCTTTGCCCACATGGCCTTCTTGTTCTTTCTAGAATATGTTAGATAGCATCCTTCATGGGGCCTTTACACTTCCTCCTGAACCAATCTTCTCCCAGAGATCTCCAGATATTTACATGGCTCATAGGCTTTTCTCATATGAGGCTTTCTCTAAACTCTTATCCAAAGGGATAATATCCAGCCATTCTATTGCCAGCATTTCCTACTTTTCTGCTCTGCTTTATCTCTATTGCTTATTACTAAGCTGTTTATCTGTTTATTGTCTGTCCTGTTCCATTACAATGTATGCCATGTGATGGCAGGGCTTTTTGTTTTGTGACTGGTGTATCCTAAGTAGAACTAAATATTTGTTGAGTGAGTGAATGATGAATCAAGGGGAGAAGACACAGCTTTGCATGCTATGGGTAGCTAGCAAAGTTTATGGAATGAAGAGCTTTGTTGTGTCTGGTGAATCTGCTGAGTAGATCTTTTAGGAGAGTTTCTACTCACTTCTTTAAGTCATAAATATAAATGTGTAATTATAAATTGGTAAGTGTAGGGAGGAAGAGTGGAATAAGAATTTGTAATGGGACTGATACGTGCATGCATGCTGTTGTGTCCAACTCTTTGTGATCCCATGGACTGCAGCCCAGACTCCTCTCCATGGAATTTTCCAGGCAAGAATACTGGAATGGGTTGTCATTTCCTACTTCAGGGGATCTTCGTGACCCAGGGCTCAAACCTGTTTCTCCCACATTGTGGGTGGATTCTTTATCGGTGAGCCACATTGAGAGCCCAGGGACTGATACAGATTGGGGTAAAAGGAAGACTGCTCTGAGAAAGCAACATATAAGCAGAGCAAAAGCATGTGTTGAATTTAGGTAGGTTAAGAGTCTAGGGAAAGAATTTCATACAGGGGGAACAGCTTGTGCAAAGGCCCGGCAACTAGAGTGACCACAGAAAATTCCATGAATTGAAGGTCAGGGTGATGGTATTGAAGGGAGCAAGAGAACAAGTTTAAACAGCTGTTTTTTATTACCAATGTAGAACTTTTCTGTAATTTAGGAATAAATGGCTTATACCTCTTAAAAGAATTGCCATCCTGAGTAAATAGTGTATGGGGATGGGGTGGAGAAAGAAGGTTATAGTTAAGACCAGAAGGCCTTTTCAACATCTCTGAAAATGTAACCTGAGCACCACTGTCTTTCCAGCGCTAGAAGTTGGAGGTGGTTGTCCCTGGTTTGTGTAGATGCTAGTTCAATTTTGTTTATTCATTCATTCATTAAGTTGATATTCATCTTATGCATGCAGTGAAGACTTGAAGATCTCCCCCACCAGGAAAATGTCCCCATTAAATGAGTATTTCAGGGTTTAATATGGACTGTCTGATGGCTTTAACTGACAGGCTGGTGGTCCAGATTGAAAATATTCAATTTAGTTCTAATATTCAGTTAGCTGGTGCTAATATTTGCAAGACGCCTTAATATGGATTTAGAAAGACCAGAGATGATTTGTCCTCAGTTAAGGAAAACTGGAATATTATAAAAATCTTATTTCTTTTTATGCCTCCTCCTCCCCGTCCACCCCTCTTTCGCATCCTCGCTTTCGCCCACTTTTCTCTATCAACCATTCTGTTGAGAGTGAAAGACCAGAACTAAGAGAAGGAGAGCAACAGACAGATGAAGTGGTCCCCGGTCTGCTGCGCTCTGCTCTCAACAATAAAAGGAAAGCTGGCCGAGGGGCGACGCTTTGGATGAAGATGAGGTGGTGGTTTGGCTACTGAGACCCCAGAACCGATAGCTCAGCTGAGAAGCAGGCCCTAGCGCAAACCGTTAGTGGCTAGAGGGAAGGCAGCTGCAGCCTGTTTCCGAATCCCACTCCAGTAGCTCCCGTTCCTCACTGGGGAGGCAGCCTCCTTTCCCCGGAGCCCGCCGGGACGCGGAGGCGGACCCGAGGGGAGGGGGTTAGCTCGGGGATCCAGAGTCGGGCGACCGGCAGGTCCCGGCGGAAAGTTGGCAGCCACCGCCCCCCTCGCCCGCCTTCTTTCTCGACTCTCCACCCCTCTCCGGGCGATACGGCGGAGGCGGGGGTTGGGGGAACTGGCCTCGTGTTTTGGAACAGCTGCAGCCGGCGCTGGGCCCGCCTGGAATGCGGGAACAGGCTGCGCACCAGGACTTTTATGGAAACTTGCTGTTGGAGCGGGCGGCGGCGGCGGCGGCCAGAGAGATCGCAGCGGCTGGAGCGGCGGCTGGAGCACCCGGACCCCTGCCTACACCCCGGCGCCCGACGCGCACAGCCTCCCCGCGCGCACCCCGGACCTTCGCGTGTAGCCGGCTTGAGGAGGGTGAGAGGAGTCGGGGGAACGTGGGACTGGGGCGGCCGAGATCGAGCTGTCGGCTCCCCTTGGGCGACTGGCGGGGGCTGCGGGGACGCGCGCCGCGGCTCCTGGCCGGGGTCCGTCCAGCTGTGTGGACGTGCTGGTCCCCCGCGCGAGCGAACCGGCCCTCGGAGCCGCATCCCCGGGCTCCGCGCGGCGCGCGGCGGGCCGGGGCGGCCTGACTGTCTCTATGCGGTCACCGGCCTTGGGCAGATTCTGGCCGCGACATCTCTGCCCAGCTCCGCAGCTTCAGCTCAGCTTGCGCCCTATGTGTGCAGTTTTGGGAGCTTTCTGGGTCCCGCAGGCAGTGATCCTCCGGGAGTGATCCTCTGTGAGTGGAGCGGGCTCCCGACCCCTTGCTCGGTCCCAGTGGGCCCGGCAGGTAAAGTGCCGCGTCCTCCCCCACCACGTGCCCCCAGCGCTGTCTCCTAGTCCGCCGGCACTGCCTGCTGTCTTTAAGAGAAATCATTCCCCATCTGTCCCAGTGGGAGGCTGGGCAGTGAGATGTGATTTAACTACTCGTCGTCTGCCCCTTCCCTCCAAACTAGTTTTTCACGGTTCTGTCCGAGGTCGGATGTTGGGAGTTGTGCAGCTCAAGCTGAACTTGGAATGAGTGGTGGAATCACCTCTCGAGAGCTCCTTTGACTATAAGCTGTTTAAAAACGCCAAGCCATTCCAGCTGTGTTTGTAAACTGTGAAACGCTCCACAAATGCTAAAAAAAAAATAAATAAATAAAATAAAATTATTAATGGCTTTTGTAAAGAAAATAGCCAAGCTCAGAGGTTCGTTGATGGCTTCAAGGTCTTCATTTCATATTTATTTAAGGTCCAGAATGTGAACAAAGAGTTGGAAAGCGGGGTGGGGGGAAGGAGGGAGAGAGAGAGGACAGAAGGAGAACAAGATAAAAATAGCATAAGGATATGTCCTAACAAAATGTCTGTCCTTGGGTAGGAGGCAGGTAGAGAAAAGAAATAAGCCATAATAAGAAAGAAATCAGTTCCATGAGCGAAGCAACTGGAGCATCATTCACCAGCTAAATTTTGTTAATTCATGTGTGGGCCCACGGGTCTTCGAGTCACAGCATAACTATGTGTTGGGTAGCATGATTAAATCAACTTAAGTATTTATGCCATCTTAGTCACCCGTCGTTGAATGAATTGCCTTACTTTCCCCCTGATAATCCTTTTACAGATTAAATTTCTGCTGTCAGAAAACACAGAATACATGTAAGTCTCTGAAACTCTTTTCAGTTTTGAAGTCCAGTAGGGTGGAAAAGTGAAAAATTAATTAAATTGAGGGACAAGGGTTTTTTTTTTTGAGGAGGTATATTTAGTAATAAGGCTTCCCAAGGGGCTCAGTGGTAAAGAGCGCACCTGCCAAGGCTGGAGAGGCAGAAGGCCCAGGTTCGATCTCTGGGTGGGGAAGATCTCCTGGAGGAGGGCATGGCAACCTACTCCAGTATTCCTCCCTGAAGAATCCCATGAAGTGAGGAGCCTGGCAGCACTACATGGAGTCCCAAAGAGTCTGACAGGACTGAGCACACGCACATACTTAGTATAAATGGACTTTCATTATTTAATGTAGCTAATTAAGATTCTCCCAGCTATTAGCCCCCTATTTTTTAAAAAAATATTTTGTATTTTAACTGGAATATTTTAAATAAAAATGTGGGCAACTCTGTATTTTATCTGCAGTGATTCCCTTAAAGAGCCCAAAGTAAAAACCACAAGATTCTTTAAAATCCAGTTTACCTTAATACATATTGATGTAATTCCATTTTCATGAGAGTCACACTTTTAAATCCATTTAAAACTGAAGTGTAGAGAATAGCAATTTTTCCTGCTCACCTGAAAATGGAATCTGTGCTATTTTTGAAAATTTGATATGTAAGACTGATCATTGTCAAAATGTATGTCATCTTGAGATGACTATATTTAGCATCAACAAAGGAATGCATTATCTAGGTTTTTGAACAGTATGTTTCCCCTGAAATTACATTTGAGGTATTTAGGTTAGGGTTTCACTTGTGAACAGAATAAAAACTGGGTATGTATATTTGGGTGAGATTAATTGGCAATTTAAGAGCTTCCCCGGTGGCTCAGCAGTAAAGAATCTGCCCGTAGCACAGGAGATGCTAGAGACCTGGGTTCGATCCCTGGGTGGAGAAGATGCCCTGGAGGAGGAAATGGCAACCCACTCCAGTGTTCTTGCCTGGAAAATTTCATGGACAGAGGAGCCTGGTGGGCTACAGTCCATGGGGTCGCAGAGAGTCAGACATGACTGAGCACATGCACACACAATTGGGAATTTAGATTGCTTAGAACCCAAGTGGACTGAAATGAGATAACTATTACTTTTAAGGGGGAAAAACCCCTACTGTTATCTTTTGAAACTCATTAAGGGAAATAAGGGCCTTCTCCTTGGCTCAGCTGGTAAACAATCACCTGCAATGAGAAAGACCTGGGTTTGATCCCTGGGTCCGGAAGATCCCCTGGAGAAGGGATGGGCTACGCACTCCAGTATTCTGGCCTGGATAATTCCATAGACTGTATAGTGCATGGGGTTGCAAAGAGTCGAACTCAACTGAGCAACTTTCACTTTCACACTGGTGGCTCAACAGTAAAGAATCCCCCTGCAGTGCAGGAGACACACGAGATGTAGGTTCGATCCATAGGTGGGGAAGATCCCCTAGAGAAGGAAATGTCAACCCACTCCAGTATTCTTACCTGGAAAATTTCATGGACAGAGGAGCCTGGCAGGCTATAGTCCATGGGGTCACAAAGAGTCAGACACAACTGAGCAGACACACACATACACACATGCGAAAGCAAATAAAAATATTGTTTAAATAAAAATACATGCCTAAAAGAAAGAAAACAATGTGTTATAGTAAATGTAGAAAAGTATGTAACAGATGGGTAGATGTCTGGATACTTTTATAGAAAAGAGGACTCTGCATTTTATGTTATGCTGGCCAGACACACAAAACATCTTAGTAGTTGACTTTATAATTAAGAGGGAAAATGACCTATACCATTCTTAGTAATTTCACATGTTTCTATTCTTATTTAAACTATCTGTGGTCTACATCACCTGTATGGTTTCTTTCATGTTCTCTTCCTTCTGGTTTTATCATTTATCAAGATTACATATTTATATACACTTGGAGTTGTTATATTTTCTTCATCTATTTAAATACATGGTTTGACTTGACTGTGATAGTATGGGTCTTCCCGGATGGCTTAGCAGGTAAAGAATCCACCTGCAATGCAGGAGATACAGGAGACGCAGGTTCAATCCCCGGGTCAGGAAGATTCCCTGGAGGAGGAAATGGCAATCCACTCTAGTATTCTTGCCTGAAAAATCCCATTCATGGAGGAATCTGCAGGACTACAGTCCGGAGTGTCACAAAGAGTCAGATATGACTGAGCACATCCTTCACATTGCATGGTAATATACTTTCTATATGGTAGGATGGGTGAATTTTTACCCAGAAATCCAGTTATTTAACTTTCAGTCAAATTTGTTTTTTTATTAGAAAATTAATACAACTATGTTATACTTATGGTTAAAAATTGTGGGAAACCAAAAAGGGGGCTGTCATCATCTGACACATAAACTGTTAGTGCTTTGATATAGTTCCCTCTTGTCTTCACAAATAGGAGTTTTTTCCCTCACAATGCTATATCTCAGTGGAAGTACCTATGTGAAAGCATTGATGCAGTATCTGCCATCTAGTAAGTGTTCAATAGTTGGTTCTTTTTCTCCCCCTCCTTGGTTTTTTTTTTTTTTTTTTTTTGGTCATCTCTTCCTTTTTGTTCTCTGACTCGAAGACAGTATGGTGTCCCTAGGCCAAGTTTTGAGGTTGGTGAAAAAAAATTTTTTGTCTTGATACAGGCAGTTTGATTTTAGATTATATGGTTTTCTGTTAGAAGTGTAAACCAACAGAGTTATCACCATACAGCCCCTTACACAAACCCTGGGATTAACTGTCCTGATTCCTAGTCTGATGTTGTTACACCCTGCAAGGCAGTGGAGGAGGCGGGCAATGTCTCTACAAGGCTGGTTGGCAAGAGCCTCCCTGCCCAATCCTGGCCCCTAGGGTATGGTTTTGAAGGGATGACCCTATCAGCACACTTAACAAGATGAATCAAAATGCTGCTACTTTGGAAATTCAGGCATGTGATTAAGAGAAGGGACATTTAGGCTTTAATGACTTAAGTCGCTACTTGAGAAACCGTAACTTCTTGATGCCTGGACCCATTTGAGGTTGGTGAAATTTGACTTCGCCTTTCTTTCTGGACCTCTTTCCTGCCATTTCCTTCCTTTTCACTCTGCCTCCCTCTTTCTAGCCAAAACAACCCCCACTCCTGTCTCTTTGTATTTTCTCAATGCTGCTTGTTTATTTAGATCAGGGTCTCCAAATTGGGAGCCAAAAAGTGACTTTTAGCCACAGGTATGTTTAAAAATTGTACATTTTATATTTAAATACGGATTTTCAGCCTCTCTTGAAAAGTTGAAAGGTCTTGGCAAAACTGGGTCCACATTTCTGCATAGCAGGGATACTCTGAAACTAAGTAGTGACTCCCTCCTGAGACAGGGCACACAACACACTCTCCTCTTAACATAGTCTCCACCATCCCCTATTGTTTGATAATGAGTCATCACTGATATACATTACTTGTCAATTATATTGCATAACATTAACTTACATTACCTGACCATAGACAGTTGAATATGCAGGGCCCTGATCTAAGTATTAGGGCAAGTCTGAAGCCATGATATGATGGAAAGTCTGCTGGACTTGGCATTAGGAAGCTGGACTTTAAATGCTATAGATATATTTTGATTAGCATCCTTCTCTTTAATGTAATCATGGAGCTGGGAAGGAGAGGTTAGCTGTCATTGACACTAATTGCTGGTGTCAGCTGAGCTGAAAGGAACCATGTATTGAAAACTAAAACAAAATATTTTAACTGATGGGAT